ACAGTCCCAGGGGAAAATGTCAGGGCTAGTTGAACCTTTGCTAACATTTTCTTGGAATGCCGAAAGGGAGGGTCTCAAAAGCTGAAGTTACAAATCATTTGCTTGCTGTTTCTCTAAAACCTTTTGAAGGAATGCGTAGCCTCTTCTTTGTAAAAGGGATCGAGACCATCCCACACTTGGGTGTCTGATGGTAGGACATGGAATACACTGGGACCAAGTCATCTGTACCTTTGCCGGGGGTGGGCAAGCTTCCCCCTGTTTTTGAAACAGAAAGAAAAGTTTGGCAAGTGACAACAAGAAAGGAGGACAAAGAAGTACTACACACACACTGAGAGTGAAGCAGCATTTCCCGTTGGTGCAAGTGAGTCATTCGCGAATTTTTAACTGTCAGGGTTTCATAAACCATGACAATTTGTTAAAAATTAGCTTGTCAAGAAACAACTTGAGGCTCCAGAGTAAAGCCAAAATATTTGCTCTAACTAAATTGCTTTAGAATTAAGTGTTTGGGGTTTGAAATACAGCCAGCCCGCACCTGAGTCCCAGATCAGAGCTGCCAGACAGCAGGTGTGGCTGAAGCAGCCGCCACTTGAGGACCCATGCCTGCAAGGAGGGAGGGGCCAGTCCCAGGGGGAGCAGAACACGACCCTTAAGAGCGTCACGGTCCAGTGAGGGAAGCAGACCCATTGTGTCAGGCCACAAATATACATACATGGGCGGTTTTCTGTGTGCCAGGCAGCGCTCCAGGTGCTGGGATACTTGATGGCCCAACCGGCAGAAATCCCTGCCCTAGACTATACACTCCTGAAGGGTATAGCGGTGGGTGACAGGCACCAAACCGTCCCGTAACAACTGAGCAAACCGTGTAGTGTGTTAGAAGGTGATGTGCTGTAATCACAGAGCGAGAGTCTAATGGAAGGCAAGGAGAGCTGGGGTGCCAGGGACTAGATCCTGCTGGGCGGGGCAGGCTTCTGCTCAGTCAGCTAGACTGGAAGGACACCCAGGAGCACAGAGGCTGACTGACATGCTGTGCCAGGCTGTATAGTTAGGCAGAGGAAACACACAGGGAAGAGCAGTCAGAGAAGAGGTGGGTTTGTCAACTAGAACAGCGAGGAAGAGCGCCTCCTTGTGAGGCTGATGGCGCTCCCCTGGGTCAACAGGCCCTTCATCCGAGTGCCCGTGTGCCTGCCTCTGCAGACATCTGTGCCCTAGGCAAGGCACCACGTACTTAATTAGCAGCCTGAATACATGCAACAGTCCACCTATTGGGCAGATGGCTGTGGGGGGCCACCACATGCACCAGTCACCTGGCACTTGGGAAATGTTCCATGAACCAACTGGTGCCCCAAGGATCTTGACCCAAGTTGCACTGAGAGGCCAGAACTGTGGCCCTTGGGGCTACAGAGTGACGCACACATTTCTGAACAACTTTGTAGCCGCTCTTTTAGGAGTGTCCAGAAATGGGGATCGTGAGAATGAGGCAGTCCTCCTCCCCACAAAGAGCATCTGACTACAGAGATGCGCTGCTTCCTCCATGCTCCTGTGTCATTTGTAATGCAGAAATAACTGGCACAGTAATAGCTACTGTTCATGGGCCGAGTGCCTTGGCTCAGGGTCCTTCATCCACTGAAGAAATGTGTGCTAAGCACTGGGTAGACACCACCTGCCAGCCTACTGGACACAGCTTGGGTGTGCAGGGATGTAGCCTGAAAGCAGAGGACTGCTACATGTCGTGGTGTGAAGAAGCCTATGGAGAAATTTAAATCACGGTGCCCTAGGAACACAGAGGGCATCTGAACTCCTACCCGAGGATGTGCGTGCACGCACATGTACGTGTGTTTGGTCAGGGGGGACGTCTTGGAGGAGGGGAGGTTTGTGAGGTAGACACTTTATTTTCCACATGTTACAGGCAAGCAAGCTGAAGAACGGAGACATCAATATGGGTAGAGCCAGCTTTCAAATCTCGGTTTGTTTGGCTGCAAACCACCCCTGGGGTCTGGTTATCTCCAGAGGTGTGATGCAGCCACTGAAAATACTTCCTTCGCCTCTGCTGCCCCTTAGTTCTTAGTTACCTGCCAAAGAGTGAGACTGGTGGATTCATAAATTGGGGACAGGGTTGATTGCAGAAGTCTCGCTACCATGGCAAAGTGCCTCCCCATGGGGGAACCCCTGGAAATTGAAGTCCTGGTGGCTGTCAGGTCTGAGACAAGCCCTTCACGACAAGGGATTCCGGGTCTTTCGGCTTCAGGGTGACTCCTCCTGGGGCAGATGAGAGCTGAGAACCTTTCAGGATTGCATGCCGTGCTGGCTGCCTGCATCTCACAGGTGGACAAGGGGTTGGACAGTGATGACTCTCCAGTCATGGAACAATATCTGCGTCTTGGCAGCTGCAACACAAGCCACATGTGCAGACTGGCTTTGCAATCAGGCAAAACCAGGGTGTGCTTCCCAGGGTGTGCACCCTTTGTTGCATGGGCAACCTAACCTCTTTGTCTCCTTGTCAGTAGAAGACAGGGTTTGATGCTTAACCTCTCTGGGTTTGGGAAATGAAACTGGCACACATCAGCCCCTCAATAGCTAGGCTCCAGGAAGAGCCATTTACACGTGCCCTCTTTTTGGGCTACGCTGGCGTGGAGGGAAGCATGCCAGGGCTCCTGGGACCCTAGGCTACTCTCTGGCAGGGTTTGGGGTGGTGGTGTTCTGAATGGTGGTTCCATCTTCTCTCCCATATTGTTTGCATGTCCCAGGCACACACTCCATTTCATACCTAGGTGTATTCTGCCCAGAGACGCTGTCGTGAATGAGGTTAATCAACACAGTTGAGTCTGTGGTGGGTAGAACCAGCAGGGGGTTGCCACACTCCACTGGACATTGTAGGAACTGACATAGTTTCCTCCAGGGGTTTATGGCACCTGGTGGGGTCACACAGTGGATTGAATGAAGACATTGTCAGGTTCCCTTGCAGAGTCCACCATAGTAGCAGGCCCTGATAACCACAGGGACTAGTAAATCAAACCCCTTGCAGGAGGAGGACATCCTCTTGTACCAAACACAGAACTCGAACTGTAACTTACAGTGAAAAATGATCTCACCGAGACAAAAGTCCGAGGGTAGGGCAGTTCAAGCCCTGTTTAGTTTTCAGGGTCAATGATGCCATAAAATGACAGATTCTTTCCATGTTTCTGCTTATCCCTCTTCACTATGAGGCAGTATCCCTTCACAGAGTGAAATCTTCTGCCACATTTCAAACCCCATATTCAAGGAAACAGAGGGTGCAGATAAAGTGAGGGGTGGTGTGTATTCTGTCCCTAGCAGGGAAGGCTTCCCCAGAAGAATTCAGATGTCAGATTGTATTTCCAGTTAGCTCATTGTGAACCAAAGTGAAACGTGTGTCCGCTTGGGGACTTTATAATGAAACCTCCATCACGTTCCATTCCGCAAAAGTACCAAATCTGTTGACTGTGCCTTTTCATCCAGGTACTCCCTAGGTAAAATGGAAATTGCTCTACTTGACCTGACAGCTAGACGTAAGGAATCGGGCAAATGAAGTACATGCAGGACAGGGGCAACGGCATGCTTGGGGGCGTGGAATTCTTAGACACTGGGAGAAGGGAGGGTGCTTGAGCCCCCTGGCCATCTGTTGATCAGAAAGTTTCGGTTGGCTGGAAAATAGAGTGGGGGGGATAAGAGGGGTCTGCTGAAGATGAGGCCTCAGGGTCAGGCAGCGTCCCCGGTGCCTTGTCCATCCTTAGAGCTGCAGACAGCCCCTGCAGTGTTGAGCAGGGAAGACATGACCACCAGATCAGAATGTAAGAAAGGTTGTCCCAGGCAGTGGGATAGAGAATGCTGGGAAGGTGTCAAGATCGGTGGTGGCTGTCAAGGAGAGGTGAGGGTGACCTCAAGTGGGGAGCTCACTGTCACCACAGACTGAAGAAGTGTCGAGATCTTAGAAAGACTTTGGAGGCCGAATTGTCCGGGCTGGTGATTTGAGGGGGTGGCACGAGAGAGGCAGCAATCCAGGATGGCTTTAAGGATCTTGGGCCTGAGCCGCTGGGTAGAAGGTTGCCTTCCACTGAGGCAGCACCACAGGAGGGGCAGATGTGTGCGGAGCAGGGGTGCAGGGCTCAGTTTGGGACGTGGCGAGTTTCCTAGCCTGTTTGGGACTCAGCCACTTAGTACCCGAGTGACTTGGGGGAGTGAACCTAACCTCTGTGTGCCTAAGATGCCTCATCTGTGATGGGAAAATGGGTACCAAAAACTAGGGGAAATGACTACTTTCTTTTTCACTCATTCAGTCCAGTGCTCTTTTTGTACAGCAGAGTGCTGTTTTACTGTTCAGTACTCCTTCGGTACAATGGGAATCGCTCTACTTATGCACATACTGGTTGGTTTCTCGTATCTGTTTCGTGTATTTTCACCGTGAAGCATGTACTGCCAATGCTAACAGGAAAAGAAGAATCCAAAGTAACAAGTGTGTATTATCACACTGACCAGTGCGGTATGACAGCCCATCAGTGTGTCTCTGGGAGAAACTGCCCCCCTTCACCCCTCCAGTCTTCCTCCTGTGGCTCCTCACTCCATTCAGGGGGTGGGGGAGGGCCTTTCGAACCTAATTTCTCTACCACTTCTCTGTGAAGTCATCTCCAGTGTTGTGGGGGTTGTCTGGCATTTGTTGAGCGCACTTGGCCTGTGAGCCTGTCAGTTGGCTTCTGAGGCCTATAGCTTAGGAGAGAGGATGGAGCCGGATATGTGGATCCAGAAAGCAAGTGTGTGCCTACATAGCAGGGAGGTGATGAAGGCACAGATTCCGAGATCTGCATCAAGGCCCCACCACTTAGTCCTTGTGTGACTTTGGGCAGGTTAACCTCTGTTTACTGACGTGTAAGAGGAGGATGAGGACCCTATTCTGGAATAATGATTCATGTTTGCTTCCTTCATTTAGACCACCAAAATACTACCTTTTGATAACTATAAAGTGCTGTTCAACTGTCGATTACTTCCAGGGTAAACAAAATCCACGTATCTGCTTGGACAGGCTGCAAAGATAAGATACCAGGCTCATTTTTACCAACGACAAATACGTTGCACTGCACCTGAGACCAGAAAAGGCTAAGGTAAGGAAACCTGCGCACATTTCCTGTTCTGGAAATGGCTTATTGCCAAGGACCATCCTGCCTCCTACGACTCAGATCTAAGTCTTGCTGTCCACTCTTTGTCATGACTCCTATAAGACTCTGGGATGACTCCTGGGTTTACCTGTGACACCGCCAAACACACACCTTTCTCCTACTGCAGAAGGGCCAGACACAGACCCTTCAGCTCCCTGTTCTTTGTCTACTGAATGGTAACAGATTAAAAGTCAGTCTTCTGAAACGAGCTAGGCACAGAACTAAACCATGTCTAGAGCCTGAGAGAGACTGGGACTCCTCCTGAGTCCTTCCCCACCATAACTTGCTCCTCCTCCCTATGAAGGAAAAGGCAGTCCGCCCCCACCCCCCATGAGACTCTGCTCTTCATCTTCAGATCTGGGGGAGGGGTTCTCCCAATTGCAGCAGCCTGAATAAAGGCCATCTCTTTACTTACTAGTTTGGTTTCTGTCTTTCCTAGTGTCCCCGCATCGCCTATGCGAAAACGCCTGGTAAGGAAACAAAATCAGTAACAGGTACTTCTCACGTGTGCACTCTAGAACAGAAGTGACCAGGCGGTCAGGCGCAGCCCCTCCGTCCGGGTCCCTAGCCCAGCACCCACTTGCGTCACCTGGGAAGTCACTTCCACCCCCCACCGCCCGGAAACTCTTCCTGCAGCCTCAGGAAGCGTTCGTCCAGTTCAGTCACCCTGCTCCAAGCTCCACCTGCACGCCTCGGAGCTGGCTTTACATGCGGTCCGCAACCACACGCCCACCGACCTGAGAGGAGCCACCTCCCCTTTGCGCCACTTCTGTGTCCTTCCCCGGGGCAGGACCAGGAAGGACCAACTTCCTCCACAGGGCCCCACCCCCTGTGGCGTCAGGAAGTGGGGGGGGGTCCCACCGCCGGAGGGGGCGGGGGTCAGCCTCTCTAGGACTGCTGGAAGATGGCTCCTCTCGGTGGTCTTAACCCTTCCCTTCCCGGGCAAACTCCTTCGCCTGGGCCGAGCATGGGAGGCACTGCCCTGGTGGCATCGGGATGGCAAGAACCTGAGCCCTAGAGAGAATGGGTTCTAGAGCCTGAGAGAGACAGAGACAACCTCCCAGGCCGCGTTAGTGTCGCAGGACCAGAGTCCTTCTCTTTGGCCGAGCAGGACCGGTGTCCTGTGGGAGAACCGTGGTTTTCTCAGACGCCCCATCCCTTCAGGATTGGAATTGCGGTTTGACAACAGATCTGTGTGGCATATTTCTCTAGTTGGGGATGCCTTTTTAAGTGGAGAGAGACGGCATTGAGACTTCAGTGGACACTGTTAGGACCCGGGTTTTACTTGGGCTAGAATCAGCCTTCCACAGGTTCAGAAATAGGCTGTTTCCTTAGCTTTCCTCCCTCCCCTGCTCACAAAGTTAGACAAAATAACTGAAGCGTTGTCGAGAAAACCCACATTTCCTGTATTGAAACCTTCAGAGAAAGTATTTCTAGAGGGTGAGAGAGGGAGCTGTCATGATGTGACATAGGAATAGACATGCTTTTAATAGGCTCTGTGATTCCTGCACTGATGTGCAGTTATTCTGACAATTTTTATCAAGTAACTCGACAAGTAGCAGTGCATAGTATTTACAGACAGAAGGCATCTTTGCTTGTCCAGTTTGCTGAAGTGCAGCTGATCTTGGGCAGTAGACCTCTACTGTGATCAGCGATTTGGTTTTATGGTTAGCGGGGACTTCCATTTGCATTTCCAGCACTATTTCCTTACACTGACATACCCCTGTTGGGTGTATTGGGTGTGTGTGTCTGGGGGCGGGGAGGGTTGTTTTGCTTGTGTGTTTTGTCAAAAACGGAGACATGAATGGCCTCGCTTGCCTGAGCCTCTCAGGGCGCTGGTGGCAGAGAATACAGATAAAAAGAAAGGATTTCCATACTTTAAGTAGCAGGATTTCAACAACTCCCTATCAAAAGGGCTCTGTCTCTTACCTGGAATATCTAGGCATTTAATAAAATGTTTTGTGAATGGTTGCTCTAGGGAAGCTCTGGTTCTACTCTTGAGGTAGATATTGGCTGCATTTACAATTGCACCTCAGATTGCATGAAATAGGTAAGTTAAAACTCAGGATGGCAGTAATCCGTTTTCTATTCCCAGCATGTGATGCAATACAAACTCAAGACAGATGTTCACTTTGGGTGGAGTTAATGTGCATGGCAAGGAATATTTATGTTTTATAAAGTGAAGAGACCCGATGAGCTAAAAGGAAATCTATACTTCATTCAGCAGATTACTGAAATTATTTAAGGAGTAAGGAGAGCCAGTGAATGCACATTAAAAGAGGTGACAGTATTAAGAGGAAGACATTGGTGTAATGAATAGTGCCAAGACTTTCGTACTTGAACAAACCTGAGTGGAAAATGATCACCACTTACCTAGCTGTGGTCTAGAGTGAGTTACTTAGCCTCTCTGATCCTGGATTCCCTTATGTGCCAATGGGAGCAATAACATCATATATTACCAGCCCCAGGAGAAGTTGTTCCTGACCACCTGGGTTTCGGGGCTCTCCTCTGTGGTCCCGGCGTCCTCTGGCTGGGACCCACCCCTGCCTCGGTCTCATCACGCTTGTGTTGTCACTGCCTTCAGTATGGCTCTCTGCCCACCAGACTGTGAGCTCCTTGAGGACCGTTCCCTTGCATGACACATTCCCTTGGGCACAAAGTCTGCCAAAGCACAGGTCCCGAGCCTGGTGCCCGGCAGGTGCCCAGAACACTTTTATCGTTGATGCTGTGCATGTGAGCATGATGACATGAGGTAGGCACACTGAGCAGTGTAGCTATTGTCACACCACCAGTTTGCTCATGGGAAGCAGTATATTGTAATGAGTGCATAGAGCAAATCGCTGGGCTCAATTTTCTGTGCGTCCAGGGGGTGTTTCTGTTCTATCCCCATGCTGTCCAGAACCTCATCATACCAGCATAGCACCCACATTTGCCCTTCTACTGCAGAACTACATGGTACCAGCTGTTTTCAACTGGAAATAATATCTTGTAAATGAACAAACACAGAAAACGCTCGGCTCTAATTTCTGTTCATTCAAGTGGGTTAGGGGCATCGTGTCGTCTATCCCTACTCTGTCTGGAGAATCTGGTATCTGAGTGTTCCCCGCTTTTTCTCCTTTATTTTGTGTCTTGGACAATCTTTTACTTCCTCAGACTTTGGTCTGTGCTAGTTTGCAGCTGCATTGGGAAATTCACCCAAGGGGCTGATGAACACGTGGGCCACGGTAAATACCTGTTGGATGAATGCAGCCCACAAAGCCAGGTTGCTTTATTTCGTGGAAGAGAGGTGTAGATGTCACTCAGGCCTTCAGCAGCATAATGGCGGAGCGGACCCCGCTGATCAGTGCCCTTGGGCGAGTTCACATGTGCCCTGTCACTCACAGAAGGAGACTGTTCTGCTTGTCTTCCCCTTGCTTCTGTGGCCACTCATGCTCCTTCCCCTTCTCCTGTGCCGCTCCTTATTCCCGCCCCACCCCCACCCCCGTTTTCCCTGTATACGTTCTCTGGCCCACCACTCTGTGAGTCCCTAATGGAAGGACCACGTTTTATTAGTCTCTTCATTTCCTCTTTCACACTCAAAAGTGGGCATCGGCGGGTGTCTACTGACTAAATGTTCTTTTGTAATGGGGCTGCTAAGAAGAGCATCCCCTCCATTCCAGAGTCAGTAGGATGGAAGTATCAAAATATATATTGGACGCCTGTGTACCAGGTGCTAGACAAACTCTTTATTACCCTGTGTGGTGTTGCACGGCTGGACCTTGGACTCATTTTCCTGTGGCATTGCACAGGGCTAGGAGCACGGTTTTCAGCACTCAGTGACCATGGACAAATCTCAGTCTATTACCTGTAGGAGTTTGCCGTTTCTGGGGGCGGGGAGGGAACGTCAAACTATTATGTAGAACACTACTAAAAGAAATCTGATTCTCTGAAGTGACATAAATTCGTTTTAAACGGGAATTTCACATCATTACGGAAAGTCGACAAAAGTATCACACGTGACTGGTTTAATTATCAAAATAAATGCACGTGTCTTCATAGCGCGTACCACCCCTGACCAAGGAGGTGCCTCCTCCTTTCTCTTTTTTTCCTTTTGATCCTCAAGACTTTTCAATGATTGATTGATTGATGTATTTTTTATTGAACTATAGTTGATACACAATGTTATATTGGTTTCAAGTATACAACATAGTGATTCGACAATTACCTACATTATTAAATTCCCACCCCAACTAGTGCAGCAACTATCTGTCAACATAGAAAGAGGTTATAGAACTATTGACTATAGTCTCTATGTTGTACTTTCATCCCCATGACTAATTTGTATTACATCGAGATTTCGTGCCTCTTTATTCTCTTCATCTATTTCACTCACCCACCTCAGCCCCTCCCCCATGGTAACCACCAGTCACTTCTCAGTGTCTGTGGCTCTACTGCTCTTTGGTTCATTTTGTTTTGTTTTGTTTTGTTTTTAGATTCCACATATAAGTGAAAACATTACGGTGCTTGTCTTTCTCTGCCTGTCTTATTTGACATAGCATAATACCCTCTAAGTCCATCTGTGTTGTAGCAAATGACAGGATTTCTTTCTTTTCTATGGCTGAATAATATCCCACTGTGTGTATGTACCACTCTTTATCCATTCGTCTACTGACGGACACTTTGGTTGCTTCCATGACTTGGCTATTGTAAATGATGCAGCGATAAACATAGGGGTGCATATATCTTTTTGAATCAGAGATTTTGTTTTCTTTGGGTAAATTCCTAGAAGTAGAATTACTGAATTGTATGGTTTTTCTTTGTTTGGTGTTTTGAGGAACCTCCATACTGCTTTCTACAGTGGCTAGGAGGTGCTTACTTCTTAAGTTGTTTAGTTCCTTCCTCGCACACCAGAATGTGAGCTTCACAAGAGTGGAGAGTGCAAGTTTTGCTCTGTGCAGTACTCCTGG